TCTCCAAGAAACCTTAATAATTATTGTGTTTGATAACACTGGTTTAAAGAGTCTATCTACAAACAATAATGTAAGTTTATATCACTACTCTACTTAGCTGGATATTTTGAATTGTCAACTGCTTTGATATTTAGTTGAGGGGAAAATAGGTAAATTTCTACCTATAAATAAAAATAATTTTAAAGTGTTAAAGTTTATCTATATCTATATAGTTTTACTGAGGCATATTTTATGTATCCCAAAATTCATGTTTGTAACTACAGACATATCTTGGACGAATTGCAAGTTCACTTCCAGATCATTGCAATAAGACAAATATCAAAATAAAGCAAGTCACATGAATTTTTCCATTTCCCATGGCATACAAAAGTTACTTTGCCCAGATCCCCCATAGGTATCACTATGTATGGGACCTATGGCCTTACTAAATGTATTTCTGACATAATAGGACTTCAAAGTCAAAATGGCTCCTTGATCTGTGTGCTGCAGAATGACTGTTGTGTTAACAGGCATGAAAACATTAATCTCCTTATACATCTCCATCAGAACTCTTGGGTGACTAGGTACATTGTCAGTGAGCAATAACCTTTTGAAAGGAATCATTTGAGCAGTAGGTCTCAACAGTGGGCCTAAAATAGTGATAAACCATGTGGTAAACCTAAAATAGTGGTAAACCATGCTATAAACAGATATGTTGTCATCCAGGCTTTGTTGTCCCATTTATAGAGCACAGGCAGAAAATATTCAGCATAATTCTTAAGGGCCCTAGGATTTTGGGAATGGTAAATAAGCACTGGCTTCAACTTAAGGTCACCAGCTGCATTAACCCCTAAGAAGAGAGTCAGCTTGTCCTTTGAAGCTCTGAAGCCAGGTAACAACTTCTTCTCTTTAGTTATGAAAATCCCAGTTGGCATCTTCTTCTAATAGAAGGCTGTTTGATCTACTTTGAAAAGGTGTTATTTCTCACCATGAGCAAAGCAGAACAAAGAAAAAGAGGGAAAAAATGTAAATAAAATCTGTTGTTTAGTATATCTCCCTTAATGGAATAAATACAACTCTAAGTCAAAGAGGAAATCACAAACAAATTAGAAAATATTTTGGGCCAAGTGAGGTGGCTCACACCTGTAATCCCAGCACTTTGGAAGGGAGGGAGGATGCTTGAGGCCAGGAGTTCAAGACCAGTCTGGGCAACATGTAGAAATCCTGTCTCTATTTTTTTTAAAAGAAAATATTTTGAACTAAATTATGTTAAAAAATGTGGCCATAGTATGCAGTTAAAATTGTGCTGCTGCTGAGAGAAGTTTCTAGATTTAACTGGGTATATCAGAAGAAAAGGGGAAAATTATGGAGTTAAGCATCTATGTGAGAAGACACAGGAAATTAAAATAAAATAAACTCAAGTTGAAGGAAGGCAATAAAGAGCTGAAATGAATGAATCAGAAATAGTAGAAAAAAAAAAAAAAAAAAAAAAGCCAGAGCTAAGTTCTTGGCAAAAACTAATTAAGATTGACAAATCCCTAAGGAATTTGATCAAGGAAAAAAAAAAAAGTAGCAATGTTAGGAATTAAAAGGTGGATATTACAATAATTCTGCAAATATTAATGAGGTAATAAAAGGATTTTATGAATATGTCAATAAATTTGAAAATTTTGATGAAATAAATTTTTAGAAAAATACAACTTACCAAATTCCGACATAAGAAGAAACAAAAAATTTCTTTTTTTTCTTTTTTTGAGATGGAGTCTTGCTGTCACCCAGGCTGGAGTGCAGTGGTGAGATCTCGGCTCACTGCAACCTTTGCCTCCCATGTTCCAGCGACTCTCCTGCCTCAGCCTCCAGAGTAGCTGGGAATACAGGCATGTTCCACCACACCCAGTTAATTTTTTTTTTTTTTTTTTTTTTTTTTAAGCAGAGACGGGATTTCACCATGTTAGCCAGTAAGGTCTTGATCTCCTGACCTCATGATCCGCCCGCCTCAACTTTCCAAAGTGCTGGGATTACAAGCATAAGCCACCATGCCCGGTCAGGAAACAAAAAATTTCAATAGTTATGATATGCTTAAAAACTGAATTTGTAGGCCAGGCGCGGTGGCTCATGCCTGTAATCCAAGCACTTTGGAGGCCAAGGCGGGCGGATCACCTGAGGTTGGGAATTCAAGACCAGCCTGACCAACATGGTGAAATCCTGCCTTTAAAAAAATTTTTTTTTAATTTAAAAAATTTTTAAAAACTGAATTAAATTATTAAACAAATTTGTAACTCAAAGTCTTCTCACAAAGAAAACTGAAGAATCATATGGCTTTAATAACAAATTTTACTAATTTAAGGCAGAAATAATTCTAATTTTATATAAATTATTCCAGAGAATAAATAAACATGGACCACTTTTTAACTCATTTATAAATCCAGGGCAAGGCGCATGTTTGCTCATATCTGTAATCCCAGCACTTTGGGAGGCTGAAGCACGCAGATCACTTGAGACTAGGAGGCGGAGGCTGCAGCAGGCCAAGATCGAACCACTGCACTCCAGCCTGGGCATGAGAGAAAGATCTTGTCTTTGTTTTTTTCCTTTCTTTC